GGGAACCCCTCATTCCTCAGGGAGGACCTTCACAGCCAAGTTACCTTCCTGATTATCTGCCACACATGTGTGTGGGACCAGCCTGTCCCTGCCTCCGCCCTTTCTACCAGTCTCCATGTGGCTTCTTCTTTGATTTCCTAGTTGTAGGGCTTCATTCAGCTCAATTTCAGGTGGTTCTGAATGATAGTTGTTCTGTAGTTTAGTTCTAATTTTGATGTGGTTGTGTGATGAGGTGAGTACTGCGTTTACCTATGCTGCCATCTTGATGGGAAGTACTTAACTTGGATTCTTAAACTTCCTATTGTCTGTTTTTAGGGGTTTCTGAATTTTCTTGAGTTAGCATTCTATACTTTCAACAGATTGCTTGGACTCCTAATATAAATCTAAGGGAGCCTGATTGTTCATGTGTCCCACAAACATCCTTGTAACAATTGAGAAATGAAAGAGAATTCATTGAGAATTTTCTAAGAGGAGTTGGTAGATTTCACAATTCAGAAAAGATTTAAAAATATAGTATGTAATTATAAAGTACATTTCCAGTTTGGGTGATTTTGGTGAATGTTGTTAGAATAGAGTTGGCAAACCTCTTTCTATTTTATTTTATTATCATTATGTTTTTAATCCTCACCTGAGGATATTTGTTCATTGATTTTTTTTTTTTTTTTTTTTTTAGATAGAATGTGAAGGAGGGAGGAGGAGGAGAGAGAGACACACACATTGATTAGTTGACCCCTCACAACCCTGACTGGAGCCAGGGATCAAAGCTGCAACTGAGATACATGCCCTTGATGTGTTTGAGAACTCTTTGATCCTAGGGCTGGTCTCCAACCACTGAACCAAACCGGCCAGGGCTCTATTTTATTTTATGAATGAATTACTTCTGCATTATTCAAATAAGATTTCAGATGTCACAAGTAGACATTATAAAAAATTAACTTATTCCCAGCTAGTGTGGCTCAGTGGATTGAGCATTATCCCATGTACCAAGAGGTCCCAGTTTAATTCCTGGTCAGGCACATTCCTGGATTGGGGGCTCAGTCCCCAGTGAGGGGGTGTGCAGGAGACAACTACTCATGTATATCTCTCACATTGATATTTCTCTCTCCCTAAAAAAAAAAAAAAAAATCAATAAAAACATGAAAAATGAACATGTATTATATTCTTATACAGAGATATATTCCGGGATGATTGATTCTAGAAAATGTGTGTGTGTGTGTGTTTGTGTGTGTGTGTGTGTGTGTGTAAATGTATAATTAAGAAGAGGTAGAGAAAATTACTTTGTCATTCAAACATACTTCAGCAATGTATTGGTTCTTCAGGTCATTGATTATAAAAACTGAAACTTCCAGAAAATGGCTATAAATCTTCTTTTACATCAGTGAAGGAAATGGGAATTATTTGCTCTGGGAACCTGGACTGTATTTCTGTTAAATAATTTTTATATTATTGGAGCAAGGAAGTTCCAGGCAAGTATTTAGGTTGAATTATATGAAATTACTGATATTTTACCTTTCTTTCACCTAAAAATGGGCATTTCATGTGGTTTGATCCCTAATATGTTTTCTATTCCCTGTAACCTCTTTTTTTTACTCTCCTCATTTCTACCCCTTGTCATTATATCATTCCAAATTTCATTTATGATTATATTGTTGCTATTCTATTCTTTAATTGTCCGATAAACTTCCATGTGTATAAAGATAATTCTAAGAAGACTTTAAGTGCAATGCAACTAGACATATGTTTTAAATAAAATGCATGTTGTTTAATATATTGATACATACAGGAATTGCCATAAAGGAACTCTATATAAAGCATTGCAAAGGTATAGTGTTCAAGAAATTCTGGTTCATTTTAATACTCTTATTAAAGGTGTCCAGTATTTTGATCACTTTTATTTGAAAAACTATTTTCTTACAGAATCTTTCTTAATTATAATAATATCAGAGTTCTTTAAAATATATATACATATTAAAATAAAAATTTATATTTTAAAAACCACTCTAAATAAATAAATATATACACTTGAAATAAGGTGAGGCAGAAGGAGTGAGAGGGAGATGGGGATTGACAAAAAAAGAAGGAGCTGAGAATTAATGAATATTTTGTTGTTTTGATGGTGCACAGATTCAGAAAGAAAATAAATCTCTGCTGTTCTCTTGAAATATTTAAAAGTGTACCAAATTTTTTAACAGAGATAATTCATATTTTATTTTTAAAATATGCAATCTACCAGAAAGATATAATCATCACAAATTCCTGTGGAGTTAGCAACCATGTTTGAATTATATAAACAAAATCTGAAAGATCTGGAAACCATCGTAGTAGAGGATTTTAACATACATCTACTAGAAAAGTAACAGATCAAGTAGACAAAACTAAAAACATCAATGAATAACACATATAACCAGCTCAATTATAAAGATAAATGTAGAATTTTATAGTCAACAATGAGAGAATATAAATGCTTTTCAAACATCTAACATATGCATTTTCAGTGGAGGTGATATCAGTCTTTGAGAAGTGAAAATTAGGTCTGAGAGGTACAAAAAATATCTGAGATGTTGTAATAGTTTTTGACTCCTCTCCAAACTCAACTTAACCTTAAAAAATATCTTATTGCTAGGGAGAAATTAAATTAAATTTAAATATATTTAATTAAAACCTTATTGTTCAGTATTTTATTTTATTTCATTTCATTTCATTGTATTTCATTTTATTTTATTTATCCTCACCCGAGGACATTTTTCCATTTTTTTGTTCAGGTAGAGTGGGAAGAAGAGAGAGGAACAGAGAGAGAGAGAACCATTGATGTGAAAGGGACACATCAAGTGGCTGCCACCCGCACAACCAACCAGGGCCAGGGACAAATTGCAACTGAGGTACGCGCCCTTAGCGGGAACCGAACCTGGGTCTCTCTGGACCACAGGCCTACGCTCTAACCACTGAGCCAAACCGGCCAGGGCAGTATTTCATTTCTTACAGAGAAATTAAGCTTAACATTTTCCCAGTCTCCCTCCCTAACTCAGCATCACAATGCCTTTAGAATCTCGGCATTTTGCCTATCATTAAATAATGAAAAAACAATAGTGTGTCAGTCTTCTGTGCTATAACATTATCTGTGGGGTTCCTGGGTCTCTGAATTATATTTATAGAAACAGATGGCTCTTGTGACACTTTCATCAAATGACATGGCACTTAACAAGTCTTTACCCTATAGATCGGCATCTTTGAGAAACATGCCCATTGATGCCTGTGAGCTTGTGGATATAGCCAAGCATTGCAGGGTAAGGGAATGGAACATTGACAATTCATTTCTCCTACTCAGTTTATAGACTACTTGAGCAAACTTTTTATCTCACATTCAACCAGCTAATTGGCATCATTTTTTTTCTTCCTGTAAAGGAATTCAAAAGAAAAGCATTTATCATTTCTTCACTGAGAGTACTTAGTTGTTGTTAGGGTTAAATAATAGAAACTTTTTTGTTTCCTGAAGTATGGCTGTAATGCTATGAACTTCCCTCTCAGAACTGCTTTTGCTATGTCCCATAGATTTTGTGTTGTTGTGTGTTTCTTTGATTTCTTTCTTGATCTCATTGGTAACCCATTCATTGTTTAATCGCATGCTATTCAGCCTCAATCTGTTTGAATATTTTTTAGTGTTTTTATTGTAATTGTTTTCTAGTTTCATGCCATTGTGATCTGAGAAGATGCTTGATATTATTTCAATCTTATTGAACTTATAGAGACTTAGTCTGTGTCCTAATATGTGGTCTATCTTTGAGAATGTCCCCTGTGCACTTGAGAAAAATGTATATTCTGCAGTGTTGGGGTGAAATGTTCTATTAAAAAAATGTTGCAGAAAACTGACAGTGAATGTGAACTTGGGCAAATATAAAAGCCTTTTAACTAATGACAAAAATAAAGACCATGAAGGTATATTAATAGTTCAGGATAAAACTCTACCATTCTATAAGAATGCCTAAAAGAATCATTGCTCATTTTCTAATTCATAGGTGGTATTTGCTTTATTTTCATTTATTTAATACAAATACCCACATAGCATGTACTATGTGCCAGGCATTGTTCTAAGTGATTTACAAATATTAAGTCATTTAATCCTCCTATCAATCTTATGATGGTACTACATTGTTCTCATTATACAGATGAGAAAACTGAGGCACAGAGGTTTAATATTCTACACATGCATTATGATATTTAGAACTATAAAATTTGGATAGAAAGTACTTTTTTTAAAACTGAAAATTTCTAATTGTATTTATTTTAACAAAATCTAGATACATAATTTTAAATTTAAATGAAGAATTATATCTGTTAAAAAAGCACATCAGATATTATTATGTACTTAAATTAAAATGGGTACCAGACCGTAGAAAATCAGTTACACACCAGAAATAGATAAGGCTGTGCAGTCTGAGAGACTGCATATGGAAGACAGAGAGAAAGTACATTTTGGTGCCATACATTGCCTTACCTGGTCCCCAAAATGGAACCACCTGTTTGAGAATGATGTGTTAAGCAGGAAGATGAGTTTAAAATGAAATATCCAGAATTACATTTTCAAAGAAAGAGCTGATTTTGTGGAAGGAGTAATAGCTGTCAACTTCAACTTTTCTTAATAAAAATATATTGTGAGGTGAAAGAATTACTTTATAGGACCTTTTCTGCATGGCAGTCCCAATGGCACTGTTTTAAAGTGGGACAATGCCCATTCTTGTCATAAAATGATATTTTATTAAGGATTTTGAGAAGCCTTTTAAACCCAGTACCTGTGTTTACCAAAAAATGTTTTGCATATAACCCACTGAGTAACTACTGTTGAAAAGTCACAGGTCCCAGTGGGAGACGGAGGGAGAAGAGGGCCTGCAGGAACATCCAGCAGTCGACGGGTCTGGGCTGTAGTGAAGCAGTGTGCTGAAATAATTCTGATTAGACTGTCAGTCAGGCTGCAGAGTCAGACTGGTCTCTCCTCCATTCAGCCCTTACTGTTCAGAGCACAGTCACAGTTAAAAGCACCATTTTAACTAGTCCTTACACTGTTCTTTAAAATACAGCCTTCTCCAGATGTGCTGACCCCTACGATTTCCCCAAATGTGGGAAACTCGACTGCATAATTTGTGGTATTGGGGGACTATGTTTGTGCTCTCCCCAGTAAAAAAATATAAATAAAATAAAATACATCCTTCTTTTAAATTCCTGTATGAGCCCTTTTTATACCTGTGGGAATATCTAACTAGGAAAAGATAAGGTTATGTTAACATATTAATAGAAAAACATAGCTACATTCTGTTTTCCAGTGGGAATGTTTAAATTTGTAAAATTCACTCCAAAGAATGATTGGAAAATACCAAAAGGGATAACAAGTATAAATCATACTCTCCAGCCTGGCTTCTGTTACCAACAGTGTGTGACATATTGGTGACTTGAACAGCTGATTATTTGTAATTCCCATCAGCTGGGGCCACTAATAATACACCTACAGAGCAGCAGCTATGTGGTCAGGAGGAAACACCTTTAAAAACTTTCCCTATATTTGTTTTATCTTTAAAAAAGTAAAAAATAAATCACAAAAGTATTTTATATTTTTCAAGATTTTGTTAGCAAATTTAAAGCTAATCAGAATATAGTAAGCAGAGAAACAGCTGTACAGAGGACCCAGTCAGGATTCTCTGATGTCTCTACTTGGTTGGGTTTTAGAGGTCATGTGACTGTGGTTATTGTTGATCTCCCTGACAATGTGCTTTGAAAGAGATTGTGTTACATTTTGGTTGTGCTTTTGTGAACAAAAGCATTATTCTAAGTAGGTTTTAAGAAGTGCTGAAAAGAGCTTCAAAGAACTATATCTACTCATTGTTCATGACAATCACTATAATCAGTGGGGAACAGATTTTTAGGTTTGTTATTAGAAAGTGAATAACTGTAATTGAAAATATAGTAAATGGATACTTTTTAAACTTGAATCATAGCTGATGAATGACTTGTAAACCTGCTTCCCTTGAAGTTTTTCCAGAGAACCATAAAGCTTGAAAAATAATCATTAGAAACTCAAGCAAAAACAGGTGGTTTAAGGATTCATGGTAATGTCAACAGTTAGGTCGTATTATACATACTACATTTTAGAACACCTTCCATTACATTCTTTAGATCTTTTTGACATGAAATATAACCCTGATATATTTAGGACGCTAATGAAAATACCTGTTCACTGTTTATTATTTTTATTTGTGTACTTATGTATCAATAATATCTGACTTACAGTAATAATAATAAACAATATTTAAAAGTTTTTACAGCTTATATAGGTAAATACTAATGACAGTAGGTACTAGAGAAACATAAAAGAGGAATGAAATTGAGAAATAAATAGGGAGGAAAAAAGAGACAAATAAAAATAGTTATAATATTTATTTTTACTAAAATCTCACATTAAATTAACTGAAGCAAATAGAGTTTCTTGGTACCATGAAAGGAAAAAGGTAGAAATTATTGTTGTGAGTTATATGTATGGCAGGTAGACATGTGTGTAAAATAGGTTCTGATGCTGAAATAAACAAGCCATCTCAAGCAAACACTATGTCCTGCAATGAAAGAATATTTAAACAATGACCAGATAGGAATTCTAAAATGTTTCAATTTAATACTAGTTAAAAAAATAAATTATAGACTGCCTTACATTTCCCCCCTATAGGTGAAAATAGAGTGGTTTCTTTCTTAAAACAGTGATATCACCAAACCATAGCCTATGTGTATTTTGCTAAGTAATTTTGAGCAACTAGACATATTTTTTTTGCTTCTAAATGGATACAACGAAATGCTTAACCCCTATTGTATTGCCACAAAGCCAGACTGATCACCCTGGGAGGCCCCAGAGGTCTGAGTAGCTTTGGATTGGCTGACAGAGGACACCTGGTCAGGCCACAGCAGGTTCAGTTGCCATCGTTTTATCTGCAGAAATATGCTGGGATGGGCACTTTGTTTGAGATTTTTCTTTTGCGACTGGGAGGAAACAGGAAGCAGTAAGATAACTTCATTTGTAAGGTAATATCTGTGCAGAGGAAAGTGATGTTTGACTACTTGCTGGGACTGACTGATTTTTGTTCCCACTCTCAGGTATCGTTTTAATGATTTGTTTAAAACTGATGCCAAAATTAGAGATGTATACCAACTATAAAGCTTGCTTAAAATGTATGTTCTCTGTTCATTGATTTGGTTTTATTTAGTGTGCTGATCTGGTAAGTAGAGTTTGAATAAAAAATCAGTATTTTTCACATACCTTATTAAGCACATAAAAGAGGGATTTGGGCAAAGCAATAACAGATTTAGTTCAAGTATTTTACTATTCAAATGTAAACACAGTATAAAAAAAATAAATATTAGTAAGTTTATGTTTGCTAATAGCAATATATTGTGTCATTCTTTATTTAGATATTTGTTCCCCTAAGTTTTCTGTATTAATTTTCCTATATTCCTGAGAATTCAGTGGTAGAAAGGATGAGAAAAAGATTAAGAGCATGTTTTTTTTTTTAAATGCCGTAATTTGATTTGTTAGCTCTAGCTCATAAAATATCCTCAGAAATCACCTGTAAAATTATATTCATTGTCTCAGTTTTTTTTTATCTCATGAAAGAAAACATGGTGTGATTATACTAATGCAGCAAAGTTTTGCATCTTTGAAAACACTCCAAAAAATATCCATTATCTGACTTTTGACAGCTGGACATAGAGCAAGTGTATTGAAAGACATTGTGCTATTTTCATGAGGCAATTTTCCCTTTCTGTTCATATTTACACTGGCAATAGTAAAATAGCTTTAAAATCACCATAAAATTAACTTACATTTGTATATAGTACTTTTCAGTATGCATTATCTACTTTGATCCTCTTAACTATTTTCTGCAGAAAGGGTAGGTCTCATTATTCCCATTTTCAGGATGAGAAAAGTGAGAATCAGGAAGATTCAGTGCTGCACCCACGTTATTCAGCTTAGAACAAGCAGAGCTGAATTCAGACTCGGGCATTCAGGCCAGGGCTCTTTCCAAAACACCCAGTTGGCTCCCTGCGCTGGATGTTTGCTTTAAAGATCAGACTATTTGAACTAAGCCCTTTAATAGGAAGGCTCTGGCAACAGCTGGTGTTAGATGGATTAAAAATAAAATCAAAGTCTTTAGTTGGAAAGTGGAGTAATAAAGAGAGTGAGAGAAAGGGGAGAAAAGACACTAAAACAGCTGAGTGATGTTAAAAGAATTGTGGGCTAAGAGCAACGTGATTCATAAGTTTATGCTTTCTTTCTTTTCTCGCTGTCTAAATAAGTTTCCATCCCTCCAGTGCTTTCCTTTGTCTCTTGTTTCTTCTGAGAAATTTGCCATGCGTATTCACCACAGGCCACTGTTAGTCACAAACAGGTCTCCAGAACATATTTCCCAAGTTTAATATTACATTTCATTTCCAGAAAATAAACTATCAAATCTACAAATCTTCCCTTTATGTGATACATAGCCTTGGTCTCTTGTTTACCTGAATTACATTGAGAACAGTATTTATTTCAAGTTGAATTCACTTGCCATGTCTGCCTTCTTTTCAGTCCGAATTTTCTTACTCTTTAAATAACTATGCTCTTATGGTTTAATTCTACCACTTTGTCAACTCACTTCTCTCTGACTTTCCTGACTGTACTCTGGTTTTCATGGTTTCTTTCGTTTTTCTCAAGAAATCTCATTATGGATACTAAATTGTATTATAGCCTCGCCTTGAAATTAAATGAAAATTGAAATGCTTTCAAGCCTTGGCCCCAATTGATATACTTGTCACCATGTTGTTAGTATAAATAAAGTTTTTCAGTGTTCAAAGTGTCCTGATTATTAGGAAGTCCTTTAGCTACAGTTGTCTTTGGTACTGAGCAAATCTGTTAATCCTGTTATATGTGAGATCGTTGAGCACTGGAAAAGTAGAAGGGTAATTAGATGTATCTTTTTACATTAACTTTGTATGTCTCATAAAACAAATTGTATATGGTTATGTGTAGGTTTTTATATATATTATGTGGTTAACTAATTTTAAATAAACATTTATTTTTTTTACTATTGAGTGTTATAAAAATAATTTAAAATGGCCCACAATTTATATCATCCAGCTATCTCTGAGTGATAAAAAATTTCTAATCTAAAGATGTGGAAGTACATTCAGCTCTGAAATGATATGTAAATTGTTCCTTCTCAAGTCCTCCCTAAAGGTAAATACTGTTACCAGTCTCTTGTGTATCCTTCAGGAAATCTCTCTATGCATGTGCTAGCCAAAATTAATCTTTTAAATATAACATTTCAAGTTAACCTTATTATCCAGTCACTCTGTGGAATTAATTAATTCATTCAGTAGATATTTATTATCGTTCTCTGTGTTAGAGATTGTTCTAAGCACTAAGAATGTAGTGTGAACAAAAGCAAACAAAAATCTCTGTACTCATGAAGACAACACACAGAATAAATCAATGAAAGGTAGAGTATGTTAGATGGTGATTAGTGCTTAGGAGAAAAATAAAGCAGGGAAAGGCGCTAGGGAGTCAGGTGTAGGTTGCCGTTTTGGACAAGGCCAGCCACAGAAGGGCTCACCGAGGAGGTGACTTTGAGTAAGGCCCTGAAGCAGATGCGGGAGCAGGCAGTGCAAATACTTGAAGGAACTAGGGCTCAAGGGTTGACCTCAAGCTCAGGATAAAATATTTTTTTCTAAATGTCAAGAGGTATTTTTTTCTGGTAAGTCAGCCAAAATGAAAAAAGAGAAATAATTTATTTAAAGTAATAATCCATTAATAAATGTCATTTTATTTTAGAATGGAAATTCATATTCCTGCTTATACTTCAAAAAAATGAGACCCAGATAAAAAGTAAGAGTACTCCCAGCTACCCAGAGAAGACATCGTGGTAATGCAAGAATTCTGCTTGCACATTCTTCCTTTGCCATTGGTCCTAATGTTGCTAAGAACTTTTCTTCTAGGTTGGCTGTAAAGACTAGTATAGTTTCCTCCTTTTTGCACAGGGACCATATCCAGAATATTCTCTTTGGGTAGTAGCCCTTGCTGCTACCTTCCTAGAGAACATGGAACTATGCTCAGATGCAGCCACCTCCTTTCTGTTTGGTGAAGAGAATGTCTGCCCTCGTTTCTTGGCAATCAGGACTCAGGGCTTAGGCTTGCCTGGTACCTGGTGTCTAATTAAACGGGTCATGGCTAAAGATATTTTTTAAAGTACTAAATTTTGCACACACATAGGAGTTAAAAGGCAGTGGTTTATATGGACATAAGAGCATAGAACAACAGGAAATAGTTTGCTTCAAAAATTGTTTTTGTGCATTCCTAGTGGGATTTAATTAAATCAAACTGCAAGCAGCTTTGTAGAGGTTACTGAAAATCGAAGCTCTTGGCCTCATCTCAGTCTTCTGTACCCAATCCAGTTGCTCCTCACTTCAGAGGGAGGCTTTCACTCCACAGTCATCTATACCGTGTTGCAGTTGCCTGTTGAAGAGTGGCAGGTGTCTTTACTAACTTCAATAGAACCTTATCAAGTCATTTGTGCTTCTGGACATCAGACCCAGCATGGGGTCACTTATGCTAACTAAGACTTACAGTTTCAGCTCTCTCAGAATGGAATCATAAACCAGTCAATCAGGAATCTCTTGATCAGCAACAGTTAGGTAATCTGTCTGTTAGACCCCTGCCATCCCCTAAAAGAAAGTAACCTTCTAATAACAACCCACTTTTTCCTAGTGTAACTTCCTAGTTCCCACTCCCTTCTGCCTAAAGAAGTCTTTCATTTCACATAGCTCCCAACAGTGCCTTTGTATCGCTAGATTCAATGCTGACTGATTCAAATAGATTTTTCCTCAAAGAAACTCTTTAAACTTTTGTAATATGCCTTAGTTTATCTTTTAAAAGTAGTATACTTGCTGGTTTGAGTACATCCAAATGTGGCATGTTTTGATCCTTTCTAAGATGTTCTGATTGGAGAGAAAGTATTATTATTGACAAGGAGAGAATGGAAGGGAAAGCTTTAAAGAAAAAATACTTTCTGCCCTGGCCAGTTTGGCTCAGCGGTTAGAGCATTGGCCTGCAGTCCAGAGAGACCCGGGTTCGGTTCCCGCTAAGGGCACGTACCTCGGTTGCAGTTTGTCCCCGGCCCTGGTCGGTCGTGCGGGTGGCAGCCACTCAATGTGTCCCTTTCAGGTCGATGTTTCTCTCTCTCTCTCTCTTCCTCTCTCTCCCTCCCACTCTATCTGTACAAAGAATGGAAAAAATGTCCTCGGGTGAGGATAAAAAAAAAAAAGAAAGAAAAAATACTTTCTTAGAAGTAATTCAAATAAGAAAACACAGCTACATGGAGAAGGATGTGATTAATAATTAAAAGCTATGAAACACAACCCATGAGCCACCCTGGATCAAACCACTCATATCTTCTCTGAACTATTGTAATAGCCTTCTATGTGGCTTTCCTATCTCAGCTTTGCTCCCCTTAAGCCTATTGATATAGCTGTTCCAGTTTTTAAAATGGAAGTCAGATCATGTCACTCCTTTGCTCAAAACCTCCCGACGGCTTCCCATTTCACTCAGAGTGAAAGCTAGAGGCCTCGCAATGATGTGCCAGCCAGAGATCATCCAGCACCTCATTCCATCTCTGCCTTCATCTACTTATCTCCCCTTGCTCACTCCCTTCTGCCACCCTGTTTTCAAACACCCAAAGTAATACCTCAAGGCCTTTGCATTTACCTGGAACCCTTGTCTTTTACCTGCAAAACGCTTTCCCAATGACTCTCACACTCAAGTCCCTCAAATTTTTATTCAAATCACACCTCAAAGAGGTTTATCCCTGACCAACATATCTGAAATTGTAGCCTTTCCCCATCTTTGCACCCTCATCCTTTTACCATACTTTATTTTTCATTCTAACCTATTATATTTATTTATGTACTTATTTTGCTTATTATTTTGTTTTCACCCACTAGAATGTAAGCTACGGGAGAGCAGGGATTTCTGCCTTCTTTTTCCACTGCTGTCTCCAGCACCTAGGACAGTGTCTGGTACCTACTGGGTACCCTGTACTATTTGTCAAATAAACAAATCATGG